CACATCTTCTTTATCCATTCATCTGTCAATGGACATCTTGGCTCTTTCCACAGTTTGGCTATTGTGGACATTGCTGCTATAAACATCAGGGTGCATGTACCCCTTCGGATCCCTACATTTGTATCTTTGGGGTAAGGTTCCTCAAAAAGTTGAAAATAGAGCTACCATATGATCCAGCAATTGCACTACTGGGTATTTACCCCAAAGATAACTTTTTTTAAAATTGAGATATAATTAACATATAATATTAGACTCATTTCAGGTGTACAACATAATGATTTGATACCTGTATCTATTGTGAAATGATCACCACAGTAAATCTAGTTAACATCCATCACCACACATAGTTACAAATTTTTTTCTTGTGAGGAGCACTTTTATTTTTTTTATTTTAATTGCAGTGTAGTTAATAGTAGTGTTATACTAGTTTCAAGATCTATTCTCTCAGCAACTTACAAATATGCAATACAGTATTGTTAACTATAGTCACCATACTTACATAACATCCCCAGGACTTAGTTATTTTATAACTAGAAGTTTGTACCTTTACCCATTTGGCCCATCTCCACCCCATGCCTCTGGCAACCACCAATCTCTTCTCTGTATCTATGAGTTTGGCTTCTTCTTTAGATTCTACATGTGAGATCACACAGCATTTATCTTTCTCTGACTTATTCCACTTAGCATAATGCCCTCATGGTCTATCCATAGTTGCAAATGGCAAGATTTCCTTCTTTTTTATGGCTGAGTAATATTCCATTGCATATAAATATCACATTTCCTTTATCCATTTATATGTACTAATTCTTAAGGAAAACAATATCCCATAGAATACATTTCTACAAAAGCATATTTTACTTTTGGCAAGTTTACTGTGGAATTTTTCAGGTAGGTAAGAAAAAGCAGTTTGAATTTGTTGACTCTTCTCCATGGCATTTTTTTTAATTCTTTTTTTTTAAAGATTTTTATTTATTTGTCAGAAAGAGAGAGAGAGCACAAGCAGGGGGAGCAGCAGAGGGAGAGGGAGAAGCAGGCTCCTCACTGAGCAAGGAGCCCGATGTGGGACTCAATCCCAGAACCCTGGGATCATGACCTGAGTCAAAGGCAGACACTTAACGACTGAGCCACCCAGGCATCCCTTTTTTTAATTCTTGATACTCTCCTAGAAGAATGAAAAAATCTTCCTCACAAATTTTTGCTCATTCTTTTCTTCCACCATATTGTAACCCTTTATCTCTTTCCAGTTGGTATAAACCGAAGACTTATCATAAATTCCTCTATCATCTGTATGATATTCTAATATCTCTTTCCCATATGCCTTTTGCAAGAGAATCTTCTTCCAACTTTCTTTTATTCCCATTGTATCAGGTACTTGGAATCCCTTTACTTCTATTAAAAACTTGTCTCTCTTGCAAATAAAGATTGGGTGGGGTTCTGATAAAAATCATTTTTAGTACTGAAAAGAAGAAAATGTGCAGAACATATTTGAAATGTACTTGCTGAGCTCCTGTCAAGACTATAAAACATTGGAAAGCAGATACTGGTTAAATTGATCCCAGTACTTTTCTGTACTGTGCAACTTTATTCTCTCACACATTATTTCCAATACTCATAAATAAAAACTGGCTTAAGAAGTAGACTCAAGCCTCATACAAAGTTTTATGTAATATATAATTCTTAAAAAAACAAAATATAAGAATCATAACCCGTTTTGCAGTATACACTAAGGCAGTAGTGTGTGTGAATTTCTTACTAAAATAAAGGACTCTAGGAATCTATTTAAAGGAAATTGATCATTTCCTAATAAAGAAATGGCTAGGTTGCCCAAGAGTCTTGGTCATCAGAAATCTACTGTTGCTCCATACAAAGCATATTGGCTTTCAGATTCTATTCCTATCTCAACAATTACTAGTCACATGACCTCAGGCAAGTTCATCTCTTAGGCTGTTTCCCCACTTTTAAAAGTAGATTGATAATGTCTCCTGTACTAGCATTGCTGAATTAAGTGGAGTAATATATGCAGAGGGCAGCAGAGGTCTTGATAAAGTATTATTGTACTGCAGGGCAATGAAATCTATAGGGAAGACAGTTTAAGAAATAGGACAGATTGCTTCAAACCCAAGCCATCCTACACTGGGCATCCCTTCAGTGAAACTTTTCCAGGTCCTGATGTTAATTTTAGTCAAACAGGTGAGAAAAATTGATAAGCAACTATAATATTTATTACCTGCATGTATGTATCAGAATCGCCCACATGTATGTATCAGAATCACCCATGTATCAGGGCTTGTCAAAATATATGTTGCTTGGCTTCATCCCCAGAGTTTCTGAGGACCAAGGCTGAGAAACACTCCCTATGTTAACTTGTCCAGAATCAGTGGAAAAAAACATGTTGGTTCCATATAGCCGGTCCCCCGGCACACACACATTTCAGTTAGTCTTTTTAAAGATAAGTTATATTCTTCTTCTTTTCATATTTTTTTTGTCTGAGGTACAAATTTCTTCCAAACTCCTCTTCTCTCCAGTGAGACTAACTAGAGCAAATACACTGCACCTGTAATTACTGTATACTTTCCTTGTCATTATGCCATTATAACAAAATGGAGTTTTTGTCACCAGGGCAACCTGAGTGGTGAGTGTATGAACAGTATAATTTTGATGCAGATCTTGACTCTTCTCAGTTTTTCAGTATGTTCATAGCTTCCCTAAATTTTGTGATTAAAGAAATGCAAGAAATTTTACAATTCTGACTTCTCTCCTTATTTTTCCTATCCAAGGTCTGACTCCCTCTCAATATTGTATAGCTCAGACTTTCTCAGCCTTAACACTACTGACATTTTGGGCTAGATAATATTTTTGGTGTAGGTGTGGGGCTATCCTATGCACTGCAGGGTATTTAGCAGCATCCCTGACCTTTATGCATAGATACAGTAGCATTCTTACCCCCCGGAGTTATGACAACCAAAACGTCTGCAAACATTGCCAAAAGTTTTCAGGAGGGTGAAGGGGTTGCAAAATCACCTCTAGTTGAGAACCACTGATTTACCTTAAACCTACACTGTTTCTCTGGACCTTATTAACGTTGATTTAATGTGTACTATCTGGTAATAAGCAAGCTAAATACCTATAGTATAAAATGATTAAGATATACTTCCTTTTACATGATGTTTATATTTTAGCTGGAGAGCTTTTAACATAAATTAATTGGTTGGACACAGTCCACTAAGGACTGTAAGAGATGTTTGGGCCACAGGCTACAGGAGCAGCCTGGAGAAAGGCATCAGCTGTGCCAGAGTGTGATAGAAAGAGACACAGAGTGGGTCAGACAAGGTTTCTCAAGGAAAGATGAATTTGAGCTGGTCCTAGAAAAATGCATCAAGGTTTATCAGGAAGAAAAAGTGAGGTTAATTTTTCTAAACAGAGTGTAGAGCATGAATGAATATTAATAAATGGATATTGATAGACACTTATTAAATAGTATTAAAATATTAAATTAATGGATTTTATTAATGAATCTAAATAATAATATAAATATTAAGTTATTAAATTATTTTAAATTATTAAATAATGACAATTATTAAAAATAAAGGTGGATTGGGCGCCTGGGTGGCTCAGTTGGTTAAGTGACTGCCTTCAGCTCAAGTCATGATCCCAGGCTCCTGGGATCGAGTCCCGCAACAGGCTCCCTGCTCAGCAGGGAGTCTGCTTCTCCCTCTGACCCTACCCCCTCTCATGCTCTCTCTATCTCATTCTCTCTCTCAAATAAATAAATAAAATCTTTTAATAAATAAATAAATAAATAAAGGTGGATAACTTTCTGAGAACTTTTTGAGAACCAGACTGAGTTCCAATACCAGCTGCTCCACTGAGTAGATGTGTGACCTGGAGCATCTTTCACCCCTCAGTCCTTCACACTACAGCCCCAAATACCTATACCCACTGGTTTCTCATTGTACCAGACTTTGTTGAAAGAAATTGAAGAAGGCACACCCCGCATCAGGCTCCCTGCTCAGCAGGAAGCCTGCTTCTCCCTCTCCCACTCCCCCTGCTTGTGTTCCCTCTCTTGCTGTCTCTCTTTCTCTGTCAAATAAATAAATAAAATCTTAAAAAAAAGAAAGAAATTGAAGAAGGCACAAAAAAATGGAAAGTCATCCCATATTCATGGATCAAAAGAATCAATAATGTGAAAATGTCCATACTACTCAAATCCATCTATAGATTCAATTCAGTCCTTGCCAGTATACCAGTGACATTCTTCACAGAAATGTAAAAAACAATTTGGAACCACAAAAGACCCTTAATAGTCAAAGCAATCTTAAGGGGAAAAACAAAGCTAGAAGTATCACACTGATTTCAAACTGTACTACAAAGCTGTAGTAATAAAAAACAATATGGT